CCCCCTAACCCTACCCCTTAACCCTAACCTAACTTTCACCCTAATCCTCTATCTCAAATCCCACCTTAACCCTAATCCTATCCCTATCCCTAACCCTAACCTAACCCTAACCCTAACCCTAACCTAACCCTAACCTTTCTTAGTGTTCTTTTAAACCGAGGTTTTCAGTGTACTAACCATAACCCTAACCCTAACCCTAACCCTAACATCACCCTAACAATAACCCAAACCCAAACCCAACTCTAACCTTAACCCTAACCTAACCCCAACCCTAACCCTAACCCTAACCCTAACCTAACCCAACCCTAACCCTAACCCTAACCTAACTCTAACTCTAACCGTAACCCTAACCTAACCCTAACCCTAACCTAACCCTAACCCTGTTCATACTTGTCATCTTGTATATGTTTTACAGACAAACAAACAAACAAACAAACAAACAAACAAACAAACAAGGAGTATTTGTTGGATCTCAACAGCCTCATCTTTCCCAGGGTTCTTTTGAGCAGGGTGTAGGAGGTGTGTGATGCTTTGCACAGGTGAGTCTTAAAAGACAGCTCACCTTCAGCAGAGCCTCCTTTGATCAAATTCATCCTCATTGTCCTAAATACGCTGCTCCTTCCCTGCCTTTCAATTCTTGTTCCCACCCGGGTGAAGAGGAGGTGAACAACCCTCATACCCCCCTTAGGAATTGGACGGGGCTTTGCTTCTTTCCCAAGCACAGCTCAGATTCTGTCAGAAGCCAGCAGGATCAGACCAGCTGGCGGGGGTGGGGTGGGGGGAGGGAGGGAAAGGAAGAAACCCAGGAGGAGCCCTTTTCCTAAACTCACCCAGCAGGGAAAGCAGGCAGATGGTCAGGCTGGAAGGAAAACGGACGCCCGGGTGCCAGCAAGCCATGCCAGCTTGGCTCCAAGGGGGTAGCGGGGGGGTGGGAAGGAGGTTGACGCACAGAAGGACACGGAGATCGAATAAGAGCTCGCCACCCCGAGTGCCAAGGGAAAGGCAGGGCCTCTGTTGGAGATGCCGGAAGGCAGGTATGTGTGTATGTGTGTGTCACCAGGTAGCGGAAGGAAGGAAGAAAGAGCAGCAGCGAACCAAAGGCCCAGGAGGGAGACCTAATCCTCCCCCTTGGGGCAGCGGGCCAGGACAAAAGCAGTTCAGCTATTCAAGTTATGCACCAGCAAAACCTGTTGGAAAGTCACAACCGAAGGGTGGGGAGGAGCGTATTCAAAAGTCAGCTGTGGAGCTGTCAATCATTTTGCCAAGCCCCAGGACGGAGGGTTTGGAGAAGGGCACCGGACGGCCAAGGCGGGGAGAGGGCCAAAGTGGACCTCACAGCTCTGGAACGGGATTTCGCAAAGGACGCTTGGCGATCCAAACTGCACAAACTCTTGGCCAGTGAAAATTGGAATGCACACTCCAGCAACCCCCACCCCCCTTCAAATTAAAAACAAAACAAAACAAATAAAACAGCTTCTATCCCAGGGCAGCAACTCTATTGAATTCTACTGTATAGTGCAAGATTAATGCAATATCAGGGGTTTTCAATTCAATTGTATAGAATGTGGAGGATGGGTGTTTGTGTTTATTTTCGTAGTCATAATGTACACTGAAGATGGTAATTTCGTTGTAAGAGGTGCAATGACAATAAACTAAACTACACCTGCAGGATTGGGGGGGCAAGGAGGCGTGGGGATGGTGCGATCCCTGCCTTCGTTTCGAGACACTCTTTGTGCTGTCTATAAATCAGGATTACCTTCTGGCCTCCATAACCACCAAACGGTCCAAATGTATCCGATGCAGAACGACAATAGTTATCTGCCTGTAGCAGATGCTGATTGACAGGCCCAAGGATGGATTTTACCAGAGCTGGGGCAGCTCAATTTTTTTGGCCAAACTCACATGGATGATGGGCTAGTATTTTGGGATCACCCAAGCCTTTAAAGATATTAAATTGCTCGTGGCATGTTTATCGCTTTCCTAGCGCTCTGCCAGCAGCCCCGTGTTCGCACTAGGCAAATAGCAGGAAAAAAAAATTCCCAGTGGCGAAGAAAGCTTAGTTTTTTTTTTAATCGCTTGTTCAAAGACACAAGGCTAAGGCTTCTGCTCCAACGGATGTCAATCCAAGGAGTTTTGTATTGTTTGGTTGTTGTTTTTTGCACTTTCCCTGTACCGCTTGCAATCTATTTTAAAATCCTTTCTCCTTGACCAAATTTTCAAAGACCCAAGTGCACTGTTGCTGCAAACCATTTGCCTCTGCAAACTTGGGACTTCACTATTCTCTGCGGTTTTGTTGAACCTCCGCTCCTGGCCTGGGGGAACTCTACACAGCTATAAACAGGCTGATTAAACAGGGTTATATACTACTATCAGCTGGCAAAAGTCTATAAAACAGACTCGGGCCATGAAAAACCCTGCTGAACAGAAGTGTGTGCGAAGGGGGAATCTTCTGGAATGCCGATTTATTGCTGCAAAATTCAGCACAAAGACTCATCAAGGTGCTTAGAAGTTAACCTCAGGTTGCTAAATTCCACAAAACACATTGTGCTGTGTTCACAAAACACATCGTGTGCGCCAATAAACCAGGAAATAGCATGACAGTGTCAGATCACATAACTACTGATTTTTTTAAATTTATGTACACAATTTATATCCCATTGTGTATAACCTCTGGATTGATTAATTAATCATATTTCGATCCTACTGCAATTATAAACAAACTCCTGGTGGCTTGCAAAGATGGCAAAATATAATCAAATCATCATAAATAATAAAATATACAATACAGACCTTCCCTCTCACTCAATCTCTGGCATCCACACCCCAACACCTTTTGGAAAAGCCTTGTTTTCATCTAGTACAGCATTTCTCATCCGTGGCAACTTTTTTTTTTTTTTAAACAAGTTTTATTGATTTTTTGAAGACAAACAAAACATAGGACATAAAAGTATAAAACCTCCTTTCTAAAAATTACTTATAAGTTTTAACAAGGCAAATAAAACATTTTTTAAGGCATCCGTGGCAACTTTTAAGGTGTTGTGGACTTCAACTCCCAGAATTCCCCAGCCAGTCAACCAGGTCTGCAGAAGGGTCTTCAAACTTGACAGCTTTAAGACTTGTGGACTTCAACTCCCAGAATTCCTCCTCCAGTCATGTTAGCTCAGGAATTCTTGGCGTTGAATTTCCACAAGTCTTAAACTTGCCAAGCTTGAAGACCCTTGGATGAGAGCTTCTATAATCCTACCCATTCTTGCTTTATTTTCAGTATTGACTGCAGAATGGTAAATTCTGGTTTAAGAAAAGGCAACAGAGAGCTCAGTCCATCCCAACCTAGAGACTTAAGAAAGTTTGTTTTCCTTCAAGGAGATCGGTATAAAATAATTCCAGTCCTTTTTCCTGTTTGTGATGGTGTGCAAGTGAAAATTTCTCGAAGGCGGCAGAATGCTCTTATGTGAAGAGAAAACGCGCTGGATTGTTTTGAGGGACAAACCATACATATGCATCCCTCTCTCTTGTCCTAGTCAGAAGCGAACTGACATAGATTAGATGTGCATTGTCAATAAACCTCCTGCTGTTTCCTCCCTTATGAATATGAGATGCAAGGAAGGCTTTGGACCCAGCCCGACCTCAAAGAAAGCTTCTGAAGGCCCCTTTGATCCAATGAGCCCTGAAAAAGGACATTTCGCGTCTGTCTTGGAAAGATGGAGCCATAAACCCCGCTATGCTAATTTTAGAGAACCAGGGGAAAAAAATCTATAAAGGGTTGCTAGATAATCAAAGTACGTCTTCTTTCTCAACTTCCGCTTAAAGAGCGAGCCTACACAAACAGAAGGGCAACCGAAGGGCAACCCAAGTGAAATGGGCTTCTAGATATTGACAGCTGTGTCAGTTTCAGGTTATTATTATTTAAAGGCTGAGCTGAGCAGTACCTTGGAGACTGATCTGAATAGAGCATAAACCTGCACAATGTTTAACTACCTTTTTTCAGATGCCAGAGACATTGGCAACAAAAAGACAGAGGGCTATAAACAGAATATTTCCCAAAAAAGGCTCCTCACGGTGTAGAGAAAAGAACCACGGCTTTGCTTTTTTTGTGGTTTTCTTTTTTTGCCTAAAAGCCAACAAGAACTCGGTGCTAGTCCCGAAATCCTGCAAATTCTGCACCCGTTTAATGAAGGAAAGTTAGCCTCCAACTATGCTTTGCAAAAAAAAAAAAAAAAGAAGTGAGCTGTTCAGACACTACATCTACAAACCATGGGCCATTAAAAACAAAACACACAAACACACAAAAAAGAAACCCTTTTGAATGCCCAGGGCAGATCATTTACTGCAGGATTAAAGCAATTAATTGGGAATGCAAAGAAAACAACAGAGACATGACATTTGCTCCCAGCACCTTCAAAGATCACATGACATTTATTGCAAACCAACCCATCATTAGTACAGAAAATAGAATTCAACTCTCGTTTGGCTCTCTCCAGCGGCCAGCTGAGATGGAAGGCAGCATGGTTTGTGATTTCAGAGGGACCGGGTCCCGACAGGACGGGCTCTCTCGAGAGACAGGAAGACAGGCTCTATGAAGGCCACACCCATTCCTAGGAGATCCACCCATAGCAGCATCTCGGGGCAAGGCTGAAAGAGAGACAAAAGGGATCCTTTAGATCAGGGGTGTCCAACCTTGGCAACTTTAAGACTTGTGGACTTCAACTCCCAGAGTTCCTCAGCCAGTCTTAAAGTTGCCAAGGTTGGACATCCCTGCTTTAGATAGAAGATAGATAGAATTCTTTATTGGCCAAGTGTGATTGGACACACAAGGAATTTGTCTTTGGTGCATAGGCTCTCAGTGTACATAAAAAATACATTCATCAAGAATCATAAGATACAACACTTAGTGATAGTCATAGGTTACTAATAAGCAATCAAATCATATCACGAAATTAAATAAAACAATATAAATTGTAAAGATACAAGCAACAAAGTTATAATCATAAATGGGAGGAGATAGGTAATGGGAAGGATGAGAAGAATAGTAATACAGTCTTAGTAAATAATTTGACAGTGTTGTGGGAATTAGTTGCTTAGCAGAGTGATGGCATTTGGGGAAAAAACTGTCCTTGTGTCTAGTTGTTCTGGTGTACAGTGCCCTATAGGGTCGTTTTCAGTGTAGAAGTTGAAACAATTTATGTCCAGGATGTGAGGGGTCTGTATTTAGGCCTGTTATTAGAACTATACTTAGCAACAGAACCTCATCATGAATGAGTCATTAAAATTGGCCTCTGGTGTCAAGTTTCTGTATAGCTCCTAGAGATTGAGATACTTTATAAATAAATAAATAAAAAGCCAGTGTTCTACCAATTAAGGATGTTCAGAGCTTTTAAAAAAACAGTCCAATTCAGGCATGTTACAAGTCAAATATGTCGACAACTCGATAGGTATTTGAAAAGCCTCAGTTAGCTGGGGAGGATGGAAGAAATAAACCAAAATGGTGGGAATCAATCAGGCTGGGTAAAGCTGCCCTATAATTCAAATAAAGAAAAACTATTTGTGGAAGTTGATTAACTTGAGAAAATGGATCTTTCTCATGTACAAATGCCTAGTCTTTAATCTCTGATGATATAATGGATTTTTTTTTCAATAGCTTGCATATTGTGGAAAATGACATACTTTGTAACCTACTGGGATTCATAAAAGAGATGTTTATTTTTATCCCCCCCCCCCTTAAAAAAAAGAACAATTGCAACCTTTATATAAAGTTATGGTAGATACATTAGGAGCACGTCTTCATTTCTTGCTAAATGTTGTGAAAAATCCTGTGGAAGGGTAAGAAACCCAAAGAAAATCCAAAAACAATGGGCTCCGTGATGATGGATCTGGGAGAGGAGGCCTCAATGGACGGGACATATCCTTCTTAAGATGATTATAAATGACTGAAGGTTTTTTTTTATGTTGATACTACAAAATACCATCCATCAGGGTTGGAGGGATATATTCATTCACTGGCAATATTTTCAAAAGAAATGTCTTCATCTAATCAATAACAAA